CACTGTAGCCGTAATTCAAGACCCATTGTAACCGTAATTCAAGACCCACTGTAACCGTTATTCAAGACCCACTGTAACAGTAATTCAGGACCCACTGTAGCGTAATTCAAGACCCACTGTAACTGTAATTCAAGACCCACTGTAACCGTAACTCAAGACCTACTGTAACCGTAATTCGAGACCCCCAGTAACCGTAATTCAAGGCCTACTGCAACCGTAATTTAAGACCCACTGTAACCGTAATTCAAGACCCACTGAAGCCGAAATTCAAGACCGACTGTAACCGTAATTCAAGACTCACTATTACTGTAATTCAAGGCCTACTGTAACCGTAATTGAAGACTCACTGTAACCGTAATTCAAGACCCACTGTAGCCGTAATTCAAGTCCCACTGTAACGGTAATTCATGACCCACTGTAACCGTACTTCAAGACCCACAGGAACCGTAATTCAAGACCTACTGTAACCGTAATTCAAGACCCACTGTAACGGTAATTCATGACCCACTGTAACCGTAATTCAAGACCCACTGTAACCGTAATTCAAGACCCACTGTAACCGTAATTCAAGACCCACTGTAACCGTAATTCAAGACCCACTGTAACCGTAATTCGAGACCCCCAGTAACCGTAATTCATGAACCACTGTAACCGTAACTCATGACCCACTGTAACCGTACTTCAAGACCCACAGGAACCGTAATTCAAGACACACAGTGACCGTAATTCAAGACCCATTGTAACCGTAATTCAAGACCCACTGTAACCGTAATTCAAGACCCACTGTAACCGTAATTCGAGACCCCCAGTAACCGTAATTCAACCACTGTAACCGTAACTCATGACCCACTGTAACCGTACTTCAAGACCCACAAGAACCGTGTACCGTAATTCAAGACCCATTGTAACCGTAATTCAAGACCCACTGTAACCGTAATTCAGGACCCATGTAGCGTAATTCAAGACCCACTGTAACTGTAATTCAAGACCCACTGTAACCGTAACTCAAGACCTACTGTAACCGTACTTAAGACCCACTGTAACCGTAATTCAAGACCCACTGTACCCGTAATTCAAGACCCCACTGTAACCGTAATTCAAGACCCACTGTAACTGTAATTCAAGACCCACTGTAACGTAACTCAAGACCTACTGTAACCGTAGTTTAAGACCCACTGTAACTGAATTCAAGACCCACTGTAACCGTAATTCAAGACCCACTGTAACCGTAATTCAAGACCCACTGTAACTGTAACTCAAGACCTACTGTAACCGTAGTTTAAGACCCCATTGTAGCGTAATTCAAGACCCACTGTAACCGTAGTTTAAGACCCACTGTAACCGTAATTCAGGACCCACTGTAGCGTAATTCAAGACCCACTGTAATTCAAGACCCACTGTAACCGTAATTCAAGACCCACTGTAACCGTAAATTCAAGACCCACTGTAACCGTAATTCAAGACCCATGTAACTGTAATTCAAGACGCACTGTAACCGTAATTGAGACCCAGGAACTGTAATTCAAGACCCCACTGTAACCGTAATTCAAGACCCACTGTAACCGTAATTCAGGACCCACTGTAACCGTAATTCAGGACCCACTGTAGCGTAATTCAAGACCCCACTGTAACTGTAATTCAAGACCCACTGTAACCGTAATTCAAGACCCACTGTAACCGTCATTCAAGACCCACTGTAGCCGTAATTCAAGACTCGCTGTAACCGTAATTCAAGACCCACTGTAACTGTAATTCAAGACCGACTGTAACCGTAATTCAAGACCCACTGTAGCCGTAATTCAAGACCCGCTGTAACCGTAATTCAAGACCCCCTGTAACCGTAATTCAAGACCCACTGTAACCGTAATTCAAGACACCACTGTAACCGTAATTCAAGACCCCCAAAAGCATGAAAACGCCTTAAAGAATTTATCCGCAAAGCCACTGGCCAGATGACGTCAGAGGTAACGTACCGGATAACAGGACTTTAAAGGGTTTTTAGGCGGGAATTTATCCATTTTAGGTGATATTTAAACTCTCCCTCTCCTCCTCCTCTTCACTTCTTTCCTCCTACCCTCTTCTCTTCTTTCCTCCTCTCCTTCTCTCCTTTCCTTCTACCCTTCTCTTCTCCCTTCCTCTATGTATCTTGAGTAATATTGAGATCTTCCCCCTTCCCTCCTCCTCTTCCCCATCTCTCTACCTTTCTCCTCCTCCGAGTAACATGATTAAGGATGAATACGTGACCTTTTATGGGTACATCAGAATTGACCTATCGTGGGTATATAACCTTTTAGAGGGCGAAGTATCCCTTGAGCATTCTATTATGGGTAACGCCAGACGATTTTATTCAGTTGAGTGAATCTTCTGTTCACTAAAGGGTTATTAAGAACGTTTCGTGGGTTTTTGGGAACGTTTCATGGGTACCAATGACGTCTTATATATCATGGGTAATGCTGAGTAACCTACATATCCATCATGGGTAATGAGAGAGATTCTACAATAACCTATCATGGGTAACTGAGAACAATTCATGGGTCGTACTAAGGACATCAAACCCATGGGTAAAACTACGTACTTATTTAATATGAATCGTTTTCATTATTTGTGTTCATGGGTAATACTCAGGATTCACATAATGGGGAAATAATGAGTAGTTATGAGTAATGCCATGTACCTATTTTATGGGTTAAACCGACAGACAGACAGACAGACAGACAGGGTTACGTAAAAGATATAAAAAATACTATATCGTGTGATTTAAATTCTATACTAATTAATTGGCTCTCTTATGAATCATTATCTTAATTATATCTTTATTTAGTAATTATATCTGTGAAGTGAGCATTAGAAGCAAACTAAATATAGAATTTGGTTTTATATAATAGGGAAATAATACCCAGTGTTGCCATGTATATAATTATGATATTATTTACTCAGTGGATTTAATGTAAGTTAAATATATAATATTTTTAATGGTGTTTCTTCATTAATATGTTTTTGTCTTTATTTCCATATATCTGATCTTTTAATTCTCGTAAGTATAAATCAAAGTTTCAATTTAACCATACCATAATTAATGGATCATTATCAGACAACTTTATTCAATCATATATTTTTTTCATTATAGAAGTTAACAATATACTGTAAATCGTGTGTGTGTGTGTGTGTGTGTGTGTGTGTGTGTGTGTGTGTGTGTGTGTGTGTGTGTTTTTCAGTAAAATAATCGTCTCGTTTTGTATAAATTTTTCTTTTAATCATGTTATTCATTTTCTTTAGTAAATCATTATTTTATACCGTATTGAATTACCATTTTTACTACAGTTGAGAAAATGTAATAAATAAGAGATAAGGAGTAAGGAAGGTTTAAACAGTAAACAACAAGTTACAAAGAATCAAGTCTTTTATTTCCATCACAGAAGTGAATATCACAATAATTTATACAGGTGGTGTGTGTCCCGGGGCAGCACACAATGAAACAAACTTAAGTAGTGTTTGCAGGTAAACAAGAACTTAAACTTAGCAATTTGTGACATGAATGGGCATGTGATTAACTTTGTAAAGTCAATCAAGAATTATATTAAATATAATAGTGAGCATCGTAGTAAGATAGGGCGTGAACCACTACCACAGGGATACTCAACTCGTCTTAATACTCGTCTTTGTACACATTCTGAAAGACTGTTGGCGTAATGTCTTCCTCTTAACAAGGATAAAACAATTTCTATATACAGAAGCGAAAAGTAACTATACTTCCTATTGTTAAATTATCACAGTGTGGAACTTATAAAATGTGAATTTATATACAAAAAATAGCTATGAACTATCACAAAGTTTGTATCACAATATACACTGGAGAGGTGAGGGGCCGAGAGGTGAAGGCGGCTGCTGCCTCCACCGTCGCGTGTCTGACGTCTTGTACTTAAAGCTCGACAAGACGAACCATACACTTGGCCATCTGCATTTTGGCACGTCGAATCCACACACTTGGTACTCCGCTCCGGGGCCGGCGATGTGCGCGCCATCGTCTACAGTTCCTGCAGGAGGAAAGCGAAGAGTTGTCCCGCCGCGTCAGGTAAGTTCTGGGCACCGGAGGGGTCCACCCACAATATTATATCACAATGCTGGAGAAGTTATCCTCCCACTGTACAGTGATCACCAGGGCCTCCAAGATGTCTTGCCGTCGGGGCACAGGTCCTGCTCCCTGGGAACTGACCGACGCATGGACAGGTCCTGGGGCATGTTGCTCGCCTCCCGAATGGGCGTTGGCGCCACCAGCTTGGGCTTCATACTCAGATCCATCAGCGGGGGCGGCGACATGGGAGGCGAGGCCGCGGGGATCATCACTGGACGTGGTGGCGCTGGCCTAGGGGCGGCAATCACCATGGGAGGTGCTGAAGGGGACCCAGGAGAGGGCGTGGCTGATGCAGACGTGGCGGGGTTTGAAGATGGCACGCCAGATATGGCTGAGGCGCACGATGTGAGGTGTGTGATGAGGCGTGAAGACACTGATGGTTCCAGGGACGGTGAGGCGATGAGGAAGGACTGCACCTGCTGCGCTGCCGCCACGAAGCCCTGTTGGAACTTAAGGGCGTCGTGCCTTGGATCGTGGCCGCCGGGGGGCAGCGTCAGACACCGCCTTTGGTTGAGGCGTCGAACGTGACGGACTGTAAGTTCCAAAATGTCGGCCTTCTCCAGACGCGTGACGGTCTCCCCTTCCGCCTGCAGCGCCGCCACCAGGAGGTCCCGCAGTTCGTCAAGGCAGCGGTTTATGCGCGCCCTTCTTTTCCTCTCCAGCATGGGCTTCATGACCCGCTTGTACTGGTCGGTGCGGGACACAGGCTCCACGTGCACAGAAGAAACCATTGTGCTCAAGTCACCTCCAACACGTCCGTCCACTGCAGGAAAACTGATTCACAAGTCCAAGAGCGAAGGTGGTCAGGGTGCTCACTCCTACAGTCCACCACCGGGCGAGGGTGCGTAAGATCTAGTGTTGACACAGGATCAGGTCGTATATATAGCGTGTGAGGATCTGTTTCCCCGAGTTGCCGAGCAGGCGGCAGGATATTGTGAAACACGTTAACTACACCGTAAGTCATGTGATCAAGGAACGTCCACGTTAGCACCTCTCTCATATCCGCTAGGGTTAAGTTTGTGTTGTTTACACTACAAAATACTTAAAATACAACGAATACGAAAGTGAAGCATTTAATCATAATAACTGGCACCTGCGCGTCCGGGCCGCCTCGTGGGAACCTCGCGCTGTGCGTCGTCCCAGCCGGTAGCGGGTGCCCAACTTGCACGCCCTCACGCCCTCACCTTCTCACGCCCATATCCCGCCCATCCAACAAACTCAGCGCAAAACCTAATACTCAACAATATTCCAAAATATAGAGGGATTTCTCTGCCTATAGAACCAACAATGAGAGATGTAAGAGAGAGGGAGATGGTGTGCGTAGTAGCGGGGTGGTAGGCTGCTCCCCACACTGCCCTCAGGCCATCTCTCCCCCGGGCAGCACCGCCTCTACCCCAAGTCACTCATTAATGTTTTATTTATACTCTTACTTCCTTTATATGGAGAACCTGTACTAGCCATTACCTACTGCAGAAGAGGAGGACGAGCTTCATAACGACACATACACCTTCAGGAGAGTTGACAGGGGATAATATAACTCACAAAAATAAAGGTTTGAAATATTTGGTAATTTTAGAGCTACGAGGTGCGTCTGAACTTGGCCGCCCGCACCTGTTGTCTCAGCGGATGGCGAGGGATGAGGGATGACTCCACACACACAGGGAGATGATTGGCGGGAAGAGAGACAGATGAGGATAAAGAGAGGAGGAGGTGGGGATAGAAGATGAGGAGAGAGGAAGGTGAGTGAAAGGAGGAGGTGGGGGGGAAAGGGAAGTGGGGAGAGCCGGTGGTGAGGGAAGATGGAGAGGAGAGAGAGAGAGAGAGAAAGAGAGAGAGAGAGAGTACCATTAAACATAAAAATAGGTAATAATGGAAGAGAATAAGTGAGAAGAAACATAAGATAAATGAAGACCAAAGAAAAAAGCTGATTTATCGAAGGAGAAAATAAAAACAATATGAATCTATTAACATTAGTGAAAAAAAATGGAGAAAATTAATGAAATGTAAATAAGACTCAATGGTATAACACACACTCTCGGCACGACAATATAACCAGTACAACAACACTGACGTTTCCGGTATGATAAACTTTACAATATGGCGCTTTCTTACACACACACACACACACAGTCTACGAACGACAGGTCTGGCAAAGTTTAAGGAAAATACTCGTACACACAAAGGTATCCACATAGAAACATCACTTCCATTGTGTGTCAGACAAACGAACGGAACAGTCAATCCAGCCAGGGTCCGGTTGTCCAAGGTTTTACACGAAGATTATCCGGTGTATACGGTTTTTATCCGTCGTCAATAAACTAGAGTAATAGAGTATCAGGATCAGGTGAAGGTTAGACCCCCTCAGCCTATTTCACCTGAATTCTAAACACCTTAACGATAACCTAATCTAACCTAACAAAACCTACCCTAATGCTAACCTAACGCCAACCTAACCTAATACAATCTCACCTGATCTATCGGTAATTTAACCTAAACTAACCTAACGCTAATTTAACCTAACCTATGCTAATCTAACGCTAATTTAACGTTAATTTAACCTAACCTAACCCCTCCAGGTAGCGTTGAGATGTTTAATCATCAGGTGAAATGAAATTAGAAAGTCAAATCTGCAGGTGATTCAATGGTGTACGTCAGAGGTCAGCTGGGTGTTGACCTGGGGGCTAGGGTTGGTGTGTAGGTGGGTGGGTTGGTGTGTAGGTGGGTTGGTGTGTAGGTGGGTGGGTTGGTGTGTAGGTGGGTTGGTGTGTAGGTGGGTGGGTTGGTGTGTAGGTGGAGTTAGTGTGTGGTAGGTGGGTTGGTGTGTGGGTGGGTTGGTGGTGTGTAGAGGTGGGTTGGTGTGTAGGTGGGTTGGTGTGTAGGTGGGTGGGTTGGTGTGTAGGTGGAGTGGGTTGGTGTGTGGGTGGGTTGGTGTGTGTAGGTGGGTTGGTGTAGTGTGTAGGTAGGTGGGTTGGTGTGTAGGTGGGTTGGTGTGTAGGTGGGTTGGTGTGTAGGTGGGTTGGCGTGTAGGTGGGTTGGTGTGTAGGTGGGTTGGTGTGTAGGTGGGTTGGTGTGTGGGTGGGTTGGCGTGTAGGTGGGTTGGGTGTAGGTGGGTTGGCGTGTAGGTGGGTTGGCGTGTAGGTGGGTTGGCGTGTAGGTGGGTTGGGTACGGTAACATGGTTGGGTTGTTTAATATAAAGGTTATTTGGTTATCCTGACCACTGAGATATTTCCACCCCTCTATTATGGCCCTTTCTTCCTCCTCCTACTCATCTTCTTCCTCTTACTCCTCATCCTTTTCCTCTGCCTCCTCTTTCTCCCCCTCCTTCTCCCACTACCATGCGCTAGTCAGGCCGCACCTCGATTATGCGGTTCAGTTCTGGTGCCCTTATTATAGAATGGATATCAATTCACTGGAGTCGGTGCAGCGAAGAATGACGAAAATGATTCCTGGACTTAGAAACCTTCCATATCAGGATAGGTTAAAGAAACTTAACTTGCATTCCCTAGAAAGACGAAGAGTGCGGGGAGATATGATAGAAGTATTTAAGTGGGTGAAAGGAATCAATAAAGGTGATATAGATAAAGTTCTTATAATATCTGAGCAGGATAGGACTCGGGGCAACGGATCTAAGTTGAATAAGTTTAGGTTTAGGAGGGAGATAGGAAGAAACTGGTTCACAAATAGACTGGTGGACGAGTGGAACAAGCTTAGCAACTTTGTAGTAAGTGCTGGAACTTTGGAAAGTTTTAAAAGGAGGCTGGATAGATTCATGGATGATAGAGAGTGGTAGTAACTCTCGACAGGAGCTGCCATGCACAGGCCAACCGGCCTATTGCAGACTCCTTATTTTCTTATGGCCTCTCCCTTCCCTTCCCATTCTGTTCCATTTTTCATGACCCCCATGATCTCTCACTCATTCTCTTCCTTCATCAATCACCCCCCCTTCATCAATCACCCCCCTTCCATCACGACGACCCTGCATGACACACACACACACACACACACAGAGACATCCGGCCGGCCTCGCAGGTCTGGGAGAGGTAGCCTGACCTCCGCGGACGTGGAGGCCAGCCACCGTGTCGTGTGACTATTGATACAACGCTAAGGTGAGACGGAGGTGAGAACTGTATCCAGAGACGTTACCAGGCCACACCTGGTACCCGGAGGCCACATCTGCAATTGGAAGTCCACCTCAGATACTACGAGACTATACACCTGATACCTGGAGACCACATCTGTAACTAGGAAGCTATACCTGGAGGCCACACCTGTTAAGAGGACACACCTGAAGCTGGGGATTCACAATGATAAGAAAATCATGGTTGACATAATGACGAAAAGTTGGTCTGTGTCTGTCTGTTGGATGGTGAATGTGTGAAGGTTAGTGTAGGTAGATGTGTAGGTCTGTGTAGGGTAGTGTAGATTGGTGTAGGTCTGTGTAGATATGTAGGTCAGGGAAGATGTGTAAGTTGGTCTGTGTAGGTCGGGGTAGATTGGTGTAGGTCTATGTAGGTCGGGGTAGATTGATGTAGGTCTGTGTAGATATGTAGGTCAGTGAAGGTGTGTAAGTTGGTCTGTGTAGGTTAGTGTAGGTTGGTCTGTGTAGGTTAGTGTAGGTTAGTGTAGGTTAGAGTAGGTTAGCACTTCCTAAAATCCAATGAACGTCCTGCATCCTATATTTTCATCACCTAGAGGTAAATAAATAAATACACATATATATATATATCACAGACTACATAACAAACTGACCTCTGCTATACACGACTCACTATGCACCGAGATAAACTCAATGGTAATTAAGCACTAGATCTATCAGTGCATTTATCTTATCAAGGAAGTTACACAGCTATCAAAAGTATACACAGTCAAGAGTCTTAGTACAAATATTGCACAATTTATGGCTCTGTGGTTAGGATAGCGTTAGGATAGGATAGGATAGGATAGGTTAGGTTAGGTTAGGGTGGTTAATCTTTAGGTGAAATAAGCTGAGGTTGAGATTCTTTAAGTGATCCTTATCTTAATTTCTTTCTGGTTAAATAAATTGTTTTAATTTGTACGAGTATCTTAACTTTCCTCATCAGCAGCAGTTATCATTAACCTGTGATAACGTCTTAATGACTCACCTGTAAGTACTCTCTCTCTCTCTCTCTCTCTCTCTCTCTCTCTCTCTCTCTCTCTCTCATACATTATCAACAGAATGCAAAGTTCCTCCACCCACAAAACCTAACATAACCTAACTTAACCTAAGCTAACCTAACCACAACCATAAGCATCAACAGTGTTACGAGACGATAAGAGTTTCTCACGTGTGTAACTACCCATCAAGGAGGGAGACCGGAAGGTGTGTACAGGTAAGCTGGTCATTAAACCCCCCTCCCTCTCTCCTCTCCCCCCCCCCTCTCCCTCTCCCTCACTCTACCCTGGGAAGCTCGTCTCACGTTGCTCATTACGTGTTCTCGGCCACCTGTTACACTCACCTGCACCTTACCTGTCTTTATCCCTTCAGGGTGTTTATAGGTGTTATTCGATCCTCTCTCTCTCTCTCTCTCTCTCTCTCTCTCTCTCTCTCTCTCTCTCTCTCAATCGTCTGTCTGTTCATTAGATAAAAGGTGATAAGACGTTGATGACTCAGTGACCGGTCGAGGAGGACGGAGGTAATACACACACACACACACACACACACACACACACACACACACACACACACACACACACACACACACACACACACACACACACACACACACACACACACACACACACACACACACACACACACACACACACACACACACACACACAATCTCTCTCTCTCTCTCTCAGTAAAAGTTTATCGGTTATGAGATCTCAGTGGTGAGTTGTTAGCA